GAGAATTTTTTTTTAAGTCATGTTTGGTGTCGATTGAAATCTAAATCTTAATCTAAATCAAAGTTAACAATTAATTTTAATAACATATTTCATGGAATCCATAACTGTTTAACTTTTATCAAAATTTACAAAAAATTTAATTTTAATCTCCACCAAACATGGACAAAATCACAATAAATTTAAATTTTGATAACATGCTAATTTTAAAAATTCTCCGACGATCGTACGCTAATTGAATCTACAAATTGCTTATGTCATCTCAAAACTTATTTTGAGAACTACATTATGGACATATCGAATAGTCCAAATAGATATCGAAAATAGTTAAAAATATATTAAACGTGAGTCTTAAAGAAAAACGTTTAACTCTCATCTTTTTTTAAAAAAAATTCAATTATTTCATTAACATTTATTATTTTTGCAATACAAATTTCTCAATATAATTTTCATCATTTTATTAAGAAATTTTATATGAAATATAACATCAAAAAATTTCGAAATTTTACATTCGAAAAAGTTATATCCCATGTAAATTTTCGGATGCAAAATTACATGGGGTATGATTTTTTTGGACGTAAATTTTCAATTGTAAAATTTCTCCCGACTTTTTTTCAAGTTCGATTGTGCCCCCTAACTTTAAAGTTCTGCATCCGCCCCTGGAGGGATGACTATGTCTTTGCTTCAAGTCAAGCCATGTTCCTAGCAGTATGCTCCACTCCTACTTTTATGTTTTTTAATACTAATCCTATCAAATTTTTTGCTAATGCATACAAGGCCAACCCCTAATTACTTTTTATTTTTACATTACAAATTCTTTTAATAATTGAAGCAAAACTTTATGGCAATGGACAATTTATAACTACAGCATTTCTACTGTAGAAATATTCTATGCACCATATCTGTTGTAGTTAATCATCTGCGATACACAAATAATTCGTTTGATCAGATAGATCGCACAATACTAAATCTACTCAAGTTGCTATAAGATTACATATCAAACATATCCTACTGCACTAAGGCAGGCTCGACTCAGGTTCATACCCTGCAATCTCCTCTTTGTCGACGCCAAACAGTCTCACGGATGTCTCATTGGTCCAAAAGCGTGGAATAAAACATAATTTATCTGTGTTTCTGGGAACAATCTAGCGATGGACTGAGTATGTACGAACTTGCTCTCTTTGAATCCCACTTCAGCTATTATAAATGGTAATTCATTTGTTAAAGAGGATAGTTTAAGTGCTCCATTCTTTCCATCATTTTCACAGCCATGGCTCTCTGTAACTCTTGGAATACTGTATCTCTTAATCTCTTTTGCATCTCCACTTTCTTTCAACCTCTCCAGTATCGGACCTCATGATATTAATATCTCTATTAACACAACTGGCAATGCGCATATCTCAAAGCAAGGACTTTAGGTCACTACCGACGAGAGCAAGAAGTCAAAACAGGTCGTGCCACTTATATCAAACATTTGCACCTCTGGGATGAAGCTTCAGGTAACCTGACATATTTCCATACTCATTTCTCCTTTGTTATTGAATCGAGTAGCTATTACCATGCCGATAGACTTGCCATTTTCTTGGCTCCTTTTGGTTCAAGCATACTTGTGAATTCGTCGGGTAGTGGTCTTGGCCTTGCTTACCACAACGCCAGGGCAAACATATCTGGAGAATCTTTTGTGGCTGTGGAGTTTGATACTTACTCTAATGAATGGGATCCATACTATCCACACGTAGGTATCGATATCAATTCACTGATTTCTGCTACCACCGTCACATGGTCGAATAACATCCCTCAAGGGATTAGTTATAATTCCTCTTTGAAAAATCTTAGTGTAATCTTCACAGGTTATATGAGTAAGCAACTCCTAACTTGCCACCTTGACCATAGGGTAGATTTGAGAAATTACTTACCTGAGTGGGTGAGTTTAGGCTTCTCAGCAGCTACAGGGGCCTGCTTTCAGAAAAATAACGTTAAGTCCTGGGAGTTCAATTCAACTTTAGAAATAATAAGTAATAATCCAGGTCCTAACTACACTGATCCTTCCGTAGTGCCAAACATCAATTCAGATTCTAGAAATGCAAACCGTGGAGGAAAGAAAATGAAGCCAGGATTAACGATTGGCTTGATTGTTGGTCTGACTATTTTCATTCTCGGTTTGTTTTTCGTTGCTTAGAGTTTATGGAGGAAGAAAAATTAGAAGGGAAAACCAGATGACATTTCCTTTGATATAACAATGGACACGGAATCTGAAAAGGGATGTGGACCTAAGAAATTTTCATATGGAGAACTGGTTCGTGCAATGGATAATTTTCGGAAGAAAAAAAGCTTGGAGGAGCAGGATTTGGGGGGGTCTATCAAAGGTTTTTGAGAGATTCAAATTCATACATTGCTGTGAAGAGGGTGTCGAAGGATTCCAAACAAGGGCCTAAGAAGTATGTATCAGAAGTGAAGATTATCAGCCGATCACAAAAATCTTGTACAACTTCTTGGTTGGTGCCATGAGCGAAGAGAGCTACTACTTGTTTACTAATTAATGCCAAATGGCAGCTTAGATATCCATCTTTACAAGGGAAAATCGTCGTTGACCATGGAAGTGCACAGGGACATAAAATCGAGTAATATTATGCTGGACTCGAGCTTCAATGCAAAACTTGGGCATTTTGGTTTGGCTAGGCTTGTTGATCATGAAAGGGGTCACTACCAACTGTATTAGCAGGCACCATGGGATATATGGCCCCTGAGTGTGTAATCTCTGGCAAGGCGAGCAAAGAATCGTCTACAGGTTTGGAATTGTTGCGTTGGAAATCGCATGTGAAAGAAAACCTATTAATGTTAAGGCACATGAGAATCAAGTAAGCATGGTGGAGTAAGTTTGGGATCACTACGGAACCGGAGACCTACTTGAAGCAGCTGATTCAAAACTATGTGCAGACTATAATGAGCAGGAAATAGAATGCTTGATGATTGTTGAACTTTGGTGTGCTCACCCTGATAACAGTCAGCGGCCATCAATAAAGAAAGCTATTCATGTCCTTAACTTCGAAGCTGTTGCCCCTTCTCCCATCAAAGTTGCCAGTGTTGACATATTTTGCTCCGTTAAATAAGGTTACATCTTCAGTTTCATAATCCAGCAATTTCAGTTCACTCCAGCCTTCAAGCTGTAGTTACCGTTCTAATACCTCAAACTTCACATCATCTTCTGCTGCTTCTGCATCTACATCCCTTGTGCAGTCGGTAGACAAGATAAGAGTCGTTCATAGTGAGTATATTTTCATAGTCTTCATAATTCAACTTCTTTTGTTTGTGAATGAAGGTTATCAATATCGTGCTGAAACACTCAATTTTTTTTTACATTGTTATGTACGCGTCCTGATGTTGCCAGCTTCTAATGCCCAAAATATCGACTGAATATATCTTTAATTGAGTTCTATAAGAAAACAAACAAAGGATAGCTAACCGAGAGAATGTTTACTAAATGCTAAATGAATTTTGTATATTCACAATTTTCTCTGTTACACTTTGTGAAGAATTTTATCACTTATATAACCATACAATGCTGTGTAAAATAAAGAATTTGTTACAAATCTGTTATCAGCAAAATACACACGGTAGGGTCTAGCATGTCTTCCAACAGAATGCAAGTAGAACATGCTGGTGATGCTCAACCTCCTGATTCATTTTCCTTCTAGATGCTTCTCTCCATGTTGGATGCTAATATCACTCATCTTCATGACTGTATGGACACATCATCAGCCAACTGCTTGGGTCGATCTTCATCATTTAACAACCCCCCGCAAGATGGAGAGTAGATATCTACTACTTCCATCTTGTTCATGTGAGAGTAAAGACTAGAAGAGTTCAAAGCCTTTGTTAACATGTTTGCCACTTGAGAATTAGTATGGACATACTCAGTAGTGATGCTTCCACTTTGTATCTTGTCTCGAACGAGGTGGCAATCAATCTTTATGTGCTTGGTTCTTTCGTGGAAAACAAGATTGGTGGTAATATAGGTGGCAGACTTATTATCGCAGTATAATCTTGCTGGCTGTGTTCAATCTATAGAGCTTCAAGTAGGAACCTCATCCATGTTAATTCACAACAAACTTGTGTCATTGCTCTGTACTCAGCCTCAGAGGATGATCTTGAAACCACACCTTATTTTTTTTGATTTCCATGATACCGATGATGATCCTATGAAAACGCAATAACCTGTCACAGATCTTCTAGTGTCTGGACAAGCTCCCCAATCTGAATCCGAATAACCCTTCAGTTGGAGTTCTGAGGCAGCAGAATAAAATGGTCCCTGACCTAGCGCTTTCTTGAGATATCTCAATACTTTGTGTGCTGCATGAAGATGTAACACTCTTGGTTTGTCCATGTATTGACTCAATAACTGAATTGAGTAAGATAAATCTGGTCTTGTTATAGTTAGGTGGAGCAATCGCCCTATCAACCTTCTGTAGATAGAAAGATCGGTAAGTAAATCCCCTGTGTCATTGGCCAGCTTGATGTTTTGATCAAGAGGTATCTTGGATGGTGCTGAGCCTAAGGTACCCGAATCTCTTAAAATATCTAGAGCATATTTTCTCTAAAAAATGTATATTCCACGATCTGATCTTACAACTTCAATCCCTGAAAAATACTTCAACTTTCCCAAATCTTTGATCTTGAACTTTGCATCAAGAGCAGCCTTTAGTTCGTTAATGGTATCCATACAATTTCCTGCTAAGATAACGTCATCAACATACACTAGAATAGCTGTAAATGAGTCTTGAGTAGTTTTAGTGAATAGGCTATAATTTGCTCTTGATTGAATGAAACCATGTTGAATGATAAAGTCAGACATCTTTGAGTACCATTGTCGTGAGGCCTGCTTAAGTCCATATATACTTTTGCAAATTTTGCAAACTTTTGAACTCCAATCACTAGCATATCCAGGTGGTAGTTGCATATAAACTTCCTCATCCAAAACCCTGTGTAAAAAGGCGTTATTAACATCTAATTGATAGAAGAACCATCCCTTTATAGCTGCAAGGGCAAGCAAACTTCTAACAGTGACAAGTTTTGCCATTGGAAAAAAGGTTTCATGTAGTCTTGACCTTCTAACTATATGTAACCCTTCGCAACTAGCCTAGCTTTGTATCTTTCAATGCTTCCATCAGCATTAAACTTTATTTTGTATACCCATTTACACTCTATTTCCTCTTTATCAGGTGATAAATCAACAATGAGCCATGTATCATTTAATTCAAGTAACTCAACCTCAGCTCTCATGGCCTCACACTATTCACGGTAATTGACAACTTCTTGATAATTTTTTGGTTCAGTTTGCGAAGTTATGAAAGTGACAAAGGCTTTATGAGGGATAGACAACTTATCATACGACATGCTAGCACTAAGGGGATAAGGAGTACCTGAATGAATTGAACCTTTTGCCTTGTCCAAGTTCTGGCATGGGATGAATGAAAGGGCCTGTTGACATATAAATTCCTTCATATGCAGGGGAGCTTTCCTGATTCTGGTAGATTTTCTTGGCTAGTGAGGAGTGCTTTGATCTGTTTCTATGTCTGTGGTATGCAAATCTATCTGATGTATGGTCTGATCAGTTTGAGGATCTGTTGATCCAATGTCTTTGATGTTTTCAATAGGACTAGAGTTAGCTGAGGATTGGCTATTGAATTCCATGGATTCTTGAGATATGTAATTATCAAGTGTAACGACCCGGGTGGATCTTACCCGACCCGTTAACATAGACGTACTATCCGATTTGGGGTGGATCTTACCCCTCACGGCTTTCTGAACGCGTCCCCCAGGATTCGAACCCAAGACCTTCAACTCATATGGGAGACTTAAGTTGAATCCTGGTACCAATTGGACAACTCATATGGGAGACTTAAGTTGAATCCTAGTACCATATGAGTTGGAGGTCTTGGATTCGAATCCTGGGGGACGCGTCCAGAAAGCCGTGAGGGGTAAGATCCATCCCAAAGCGGATAGTACGTCTATGTTAACGGGTCGGGTAAGATCCACCTGGGTCGTTACATCAGGTGTAGGAGTAAGAGGATTTTGAGGAAAGCATAAATCAGTGGGATTTGGCACATCATTAATCTTTGCAGTTTCTTTAAAAGGGAATAAGGTTTCATGAAAAACCACATTTCTAGATAAGAAAACTTTCTTGGTTTCTAGATCAATGAGCTTATACCCTTTAATTTCGAAAGGATATCCCAGAAAAACACATCTCCTAGCTCTAGAATCGAATTTATGTCTCCCTTATGTGAGGGTTGTGGCAAAGGCAAGGCAACCAAACTCTTTGAGATGCGAATATGTTGGCCTTTAATGGAATAGAAGTTCAAAATGGCTCTTGTGATTTAAAATATCTGAAGGAGAATCATTCCAATATTTTAGTGAAATACCACTTTGGAACCTTAGGGATCTTGTAACGTTCAAAATGTGTTGATATTTCCTCTCAACTATGGCATTTTGTTGAGGGGTTTCAACACATATTTTCTGGTGTATTATCCCCTTTTCAAGATAGAATTGTTTCATGTCAAATTCCCCCCATTATCACTTCGAATAACTTTTATCTTAGTTTCAAATTGTGTTTCAATCATAGCACAAAAGTTTTGCAACATGTTTGAGGCATCAGATTTTAATTTCAACATGTATACCCAGTTACATCTGCTAAAATCATCTACTATTGTTAGGAAATAACGTGATCTATCATAGCTCACTTCATTGCAAGGTCCCCAAAGATCAGTATGTATTAAATCAAAACATTTTCCAGATTTGTGTTGACTAATTGGGAAAGGGGGCTTATGCATTTTAGCTAAGGGGCAAACAAAGCATGGCTTGGAATCAGCCAACTTAGGTACTTCGTCTATGTAAAGAAGAACAGAATAGGAAGGATGTCCCAATCTATAATGCCAGACATCAAAATCTTCAGAAGGTTTTGATAACATAAGCTGAAATTGAGGAAGTTATGGCTAGATGAGTCCGTTCCTGCTGAAGAGCTGTAGGAAGGACCTTTGCTTGCAGGATATGATAAAGGCCAGACTTCAATTTACCCATTCCAGTCGTTGTCCAAGTCAAAAGGTCGTGTATGTAGCAGCAATTAGAAAGGAAAACGACATAACAATGTAGGTCCTGAGTAAGTTTCTAAACAAATATTAAATTGAAAGTGAATGAAGGGACGCAAAGCACATCTCGAAGAACTAAGGTTTCTGTAATTTAAACTGTGCCAATCTGAGTTGCGGGCATAGTGTTTCCATTTGGTAAAACTACTGAGCAACTAGTCTGCCTTTTATTACATGAAAAGAGTGATGGTGAGCAGATCATATGATTTGTTGCACCTATATCCAAGATCCAATGAATATAGTTGTTATTTATAGATTTAGTCTTAGTTCTAGACAAACAATAAAGCATACCAGAAAGCTTTGAAACAGAATTGTCCGAAGTTGTAGGAACAATACTTTAAACTTGATTTATTGAAGAAATGGAGGACTGACTACTTGATGGTTTGAGAATGGCCATGAGTTGAGTATAATGCTCCTGAGTTAATGATACTTGACCTTTGTCATTTTGTTGTTCCTAATTTAGAGGTATGAGGGGCAGTAGCTTGATTTGTTGTCGATCTGAACTTGTACTTTCGTTCATATTTGTGGCCTGTTGGATATCCAATCAATTTGAAACATTTGTCTACCTTGTGTCCTAGCATATGGCAATGAGAACACATTGGTCTATTGGGGTTGGCTTTGAAGCATCTCTTAAGTGAGTGCCCTACTATTTTACAGTGAGTACAGTAATAGCTCTCTTTCTTCTGTGATGGAGTATTCAGTCTCCCCTTGGCCAGTAAGGATAAGGTCTCACTAACAGGACTCTCTATAAAAGTCTGTCGCCTCTTCTCTTCTTGTTGGATGGTTGCATAAACCTCATTTAAGGTGGGAAATGGTTTCATCAACAAAATTTGGGCTTTAAGATTTTTGTATGATTCATTCAATCCCATTAGGAATTTCATCACCCAGTCTCGTTGTTGATTTTCGACCACCACTTTCAAACCTCCACAAGTATAATTGGGGATAGACCCATAGTTCAATAATTCATTTAGAAGAGTTTTGAACTTAGAAAAATAGACATTTACCTCATCCTGATTTTGTTCCAGCATTATGATGGCTTGCTTAATTTCATAGATCCTGGGAGCATTTTGTTGTGCAAATCGCTGCTCCAGCTCCAGCCACAACTGATGTGCCATTTCAGCATACACGGTACTGTATTTGATGTCCACTGCCATGATGTTTTGTAACCATGTGATCACAATATCATTACATCTTAGCCAGTGTTCCATCAGTGGGTCGTTTGGGTCGTTCGGTTCACAGAGGCTTCCATCTATAAATCCTAATTTATTTTTTATTCTAAGAGCTTGTTTCATGGATCTTGCCCAAGAGTGATAGTTGTTTGCTTTCAACATGTGTAACCAATATAGCTCATGTGTCATCGTTGCTGCCGATGAAATAAGGACTACTTGAATGTGTTGGATCATGAGTTCTTGAATTGGATTAAGTATTAGGGTTAATGTTTGGATTCAGATTTGCATTTGGGGAAGTGTTCGAGACCTCCATATGTGATTCAGCCTTTGATTTGCTCTGATACCATATAAGAAAACAAACAAATGATAGCTAATCGTGAGAATGTTTGCTGAATGCTAAATGAATTTTGTATATTCACAATTTTCTCTGTTACACTTTGTGAAGAATTTTATCACTTATATAACCATACAATGCTGTGTAAAATAAAGAATTTTTTACAATCTGTTATCAGCAAAATACACACAGTAGTGTCCAACATGTGCTCCAACAGAATGCAGGTAGAACATACTGGTAATGCTCAGCCTCCTGAATCCTTTTCCTTCTAGATGCTTCTCTCCATGTTGGATGCTGACACCACTCATCTTCATGACTGTATGGACATGTCATCAGCCAGCTGCTTGGGTCGATCTTCATCATTTAACAAGTTCTCACCATGCAAGTATTTCAAGCAAACCAACTTCACTCTAGAGTCTAACTAAACAGATTCTTTGTTCCACTGCATTTTATAAACTCTTATTCCATTCTTTGGCTCACCACATTATATTGTATTCAAAATTAAACATGAAGTTAGAGTGGACAATACTAGGTAAATGAGGTTGTAGTAGATTAAGGTAGGTTAAACTATATTATTAATCTAGTAATATTAACTTCTGCTTTACACTTGATTTCTTGTACGGTCTATTCCAGTGCATTGAGGATTAATGCTTGTTAGGGCTGTAAGCAAAAATCGCCAAACCGGAAAACCGAACCGAAACCGCAATTTCGAAATCGGGGGTTTGGTGCCACGTGGACCCGTCAACGAAATGGTTTTGAACCAAACCAAATCGGTCAAAAACGGTTTGGTTTAGGTTTGGGAATTTTAATTATGGTTTGAAACCAAACCGGACCGGGGAAAAATATATAAAATAAAAAAAATAAAAAATTGATTTTTTTTTTAAATTTATCCAAAATTTCAATTTTGTAAAATTGAATAATTTTGTCATTTTGTAGGTATTTTTGTCAATTTCTAATTTCCTATTAATTATTAAGATTTACGACCCGCCCAAGCCTAATTATATATAAAAAAAAGCCCAAATTTGAAAGAAGTAGCACTAAACAGCTCAACTCAGGTCCATATACTCACAAGTCACAACCTTAATCTTCCAATTTCCATTTCTCTCACTCGCAACTCGCTGGTCGCAGCCTCGCTCCCCGCTGCGCCTCCTGGTTTCCCCCAAATTGTCAACGCCCTCGAAATCTCGAACCTCCCAGTCGCCGGTAGTGTACGTTCGCCGGTATTATTAGAGTATTTCAGGTTCTTGCATATTTATTTGATCGTGAGTAAGGCTTAAAATTGAAATTTTGTCGCTTTCTAGTTGAAATTTGTTTACATATTTATTGATCGTGAGTAAG